GTCTAAAATAAATTTTATTGAGACAAACAAAACAATACCCTTAAAATCAATCATTCAAAATTTGTGGATTTGCCTATCCAAATAGAAAATTGGTAGGAACCGATTCAGTTGAACCGAAACCAATATGATCTTGATAGATTTGCCCAGATTAGCTTAATCACCATGCTAGTCCTATTTTATTTCTTAATATTTTTTCAGTTTTTCATTTTTAAAGATCAGATTATTATTTATGCTTTTGACGGGCGCTCACATCAATCCCGACCCAATTTCTTTTTTGGGCAGTATGTTAACATAGTTAGCATGCTTATGACTCGCGCTTACTAGGAATTTTAAGATTGCTTGAAATACAAAAAATCCTGTCTCGATGCATCAAGATAACAAAAAGTGATAATCCAATGCATGATACAAAACTATAACAAAAAAAATTATTCTACTAAAAAAATAATACATGGACACATGCATATGTTATATAGATGCATGCATATGTTGCATGGATGCATGCATACATGCATGAGCCATACAGTATTTAGTGATCTGACTCTTCATTGCCCCTCTCTTATTCACTATCATCGAATGCATGAAACCTACGTATAGCATGCATGCCAGGAACCGTTAGGTATTCATGATGCACCAAGCAAAACATGCACGAAACGTTCCTACAGGTATACATGCCACGAATCATTCGGCATGCACGATGTAACATAGAAAACTCGCCTTTGATGGCACCCCGTGCAAGATATTCACATACTAATCAATAAGACATACATATGTACATGATTCATCTGATGACCATCATCATCATAACTAATTGAGTTTGGCTACATAATCCTATTATGCTATTCTATTATATTAAAGGTCATGCTATCAATGAAACCATAAGTCATTGGATCCTTTCCCATTACTCCCATCTATATATTGCCCTTTTGAGCATTCTATTTTAAACTAACTTGCATCTCTGAAGGGGTGTTGTACCGAGTCTTTGTTGTACGTTACCCACCCATTTAAAACCATATAACTGAAATGACATATAAATATCATATATTTTTAAATATATTCAATTTGGGCCATATCATGTCCACTTAGCCAATATGATTGAATAGGGGTGGCAATGGACTTGGACCGGATGGGGGACCCAAGAGGTAAACCCGATCCAGGTCCAGGTATGGGTTAAAAAATTGGATCCGACAGGTTGGATCTGAGTCCAAATTTTAGATCTGACAACTATTCGGGTCCAGATCCAAGTTCGAATCCAATAATATTTTTCAGGTCTCATATATATATATATATATATAAATACGTACATATTTTAATTTTGGGTTGGGTCGGTCCCATATTGTATTTTTGGATCCAGGTTGCCACCTCTAACAGTGAACCCAGCTATTGTATTTAAGGACTCAGTTGTGGACAAGCCTCGAGAAATCCCTCGGTTCAAAAGCATCAATGATAAAAAATTCTTTCAAACCGATTCTGAGTCTGTTTGTCGAATTCGATATACTAAATAAGTGGTTATATGGCATAGGACAAGGGGAACCTTACGGTCAAAAAGTGAGCCTAGTTCAGTCATAACGCTGTCACCTTATCTTCTGGGTGGATTACTAAAATCATCAACATTTAGAATGGGATCTCTAAACTAATGGAAACTTTTGATTTCTTTTCTATTTCAAGCATTAATCCCGATGGACCAAAGCCATGTCAAGTTTAAGGGAGCACCAGGGGTTGTAGTAGTTTAGGAGACCTGTCCGATCCTTTCTCTCTCTAGATCACACTCCGTCTCTCCTGTCCCTCTCTTCTGTGTTCTTTTGTTCTATGGTTTCTCTCTCTATCACTCTCTCCTCTCTCGACCTTTGTTTTCTGTCCGTTGTTTCTCGCCCTTTATCTAATTTCTCTCTCCAGTTTTGTTCCTGCACCCACAAGCCGTCACTTTCCTTCTTCTGCCTCGGGCATGATGCCTGCAAAATGACTGTTTATGTTTTTTTTTTTGAAATGTTAATAAAAAGTTTGAAAGCTCAAACTCGAAGCTTCAAAGGCCCAAACTTTAAAGCTTTGAATGACGAAAATGTCCGAAATTACCCTTTGGGGAGTTGAAGTTTTACAAGATCAAGCCTTCCTTTTATATACTTGGACCAAATAATGAACTTAAAATTATTGTGCATTTTCTTAAAAAAATATCAAGATTATCAAAGGTCCTTTCTTAAAATATAATCTTGGTATTTATTATTCCCATAAAGACCTTAATTTTTTGAAATTTAGCTAAAGAGACTTTGAGTGATTGATGTTTATCGTGTCCAGACTCGAGACATTGACTTTGAGTGATCGATGTTTGTCGTGTCCAGACTCGATACATTATTTTGGATAAAGGGGAGGTAGGATTTTAGTGATATTAAGTATTTTTGATAGTGATATTTCATAAGTACATATTAATATGAAATGTTTACATATTTAAAGTATTAGACACGAATATTGTGCCCTTGATGTATCAACTATAAATATAACACGTGCGCTTCCATGTTATGTACATAAGATCAAAACTAAATATAATTTGAGACATTAGTGGTAGTTTCAATACGCAATAAAATTAGAGGAACATACTTAAATAGTATGATGATGTGCAATATCGATCCATAATAACATCAATTAAAAGTGATTATTTGGTTCAAATGAAATATTTTAAATGATAATGAGAAAGCCCAAAACATTATAGTGAGAAGAGATGCGATGACTTTTGATCTGACTGACGATACGATCGATCATAAAGTAAACGGACATATTATGATTCATGATTCACACCCTAAATAGGTGGCACAATATTAGACGATATCTTATGACATGGTAAACTAAAAATGCTCTAAGAATTTGCAAAGATTAAGACAAATACTAACTGTAGTGAGATTGGACCATTCGTGTTTTATGGGTTACAGATAGTCAATGATGGAACCTGTAAGAAACAAATGAGATAGGCACCGAGATGCAAAATGTTTTGGTAGTTGACGTTGGAACAAGTAAACAACAGTTTTTCTCAGTGACTAAAAATTTTATGAAAATTTTAAATATAGAGGCCGAGTCTCTTTAAGGTTTTTCTTTGGATAATGATTATGAGCCGCCTAAACCTAAAGGCCAGTATAGCTTACGAACCTTTTTGAACCACACATTGGGATTCAGATCGTAAGTGCTAATATTCAACATTGATGGGAGACACATTTTGCCCATTTTTTTTTTATCATACTATTTTTTTGAGTGGTTAAGCTAGGCGTATATGCTCTCAAAATTTCAAACCCACCTATCTAGTCAAATTTAATCGGAGTAATCTAATCCATACTTTTTTCGTTAGGTGGCTTACCAAGTTGTTCCCTTTGGTTTATTCATTTTTTCATCCATTGTAATTGACAATCACAATTATCTTATTTCGATTGTTAGCTAGTTTTCATTTAAAATACGAAAAATATAACAAAAGAGCTGTGAATCACAGAAAAAAAAAAAAGAAAAAAAAATGATAGAATAGAATAGAAAGGGGATCGAGGAAAGAAGAGGAAGAAAAGGAAAAACCAAAATGGTATGCTTAGATCCCTAAAGAAGTGGCTTCTTTTGCTGGCGCATCAACATATCCATTTTGTTCCATATTTATGCGATTGAATTGCACTTCTCTCTTTTGAAGGGTATGTAAAATCTCATCCATAAGTGAGTTCGAGGCCCATGGAGTTTTCTCAGGCGCCTTACATCACACAAGAACATTGGATAAATCTCCTTCAATGATTATCCTAAAATAGTGAGCATTCAGTCTAACCACCCCAGATTTTAGCGCCCAAAGCTTAGACTCATTTGCAGTTAATGGGTACAATCGGCCCTGGTAAAAACCGTAGTACTACTCCATTGTTGTCTTGCAACATGTCACCCTAACATGTATTTTGTCTATCATATCTCCCTCTCCCATCAAAGTTAGGTTTCCACCATTTCTCTCAAGGGGTAACCATCTAGAGGGTCTGGATGCTTCGACAAACATCAAGAACTTGATGTGAGGTTTCTATAAGGTGCCCACCTCAGACTATACAAGTACAACATGCCTCTAAATTTTGTTGGAAGAAATAGTTCCAGGAACCTTACGATGGCTTGAACATGTATGTTCAGTCGTAATTATGAAATTTAAAATTTAAAAAACAGAGTAGATTGAAAAGATCCATAAACACTTGCAAATATTAAAAATTGATAGTTCAGACAACTTATTATAACATGCATCACTTTTTAGACTTGAAGTTCATTTTTCTCTCTTTATATACATGAATCTCAAAATCGAGACAATCAATTAGAAGGTTTTTCAACTTCATCACTAATTTCTACTGGATTTTTGAGCAGCACCTTACTTCCACGGTATAAGGTTACAACATTATATAAGCTTTTCATTTTGTAAGGGATTCGGTTTCTATAAGGCACATGCTTTTAAATAAAATGAAGTAAAGTCTCATCTCGAGTCATCGTCCCAAAGTCACTATGGGCACGAGAAATCTCAATGATGGGTCAACACTTACTACAAAATTTCAAGCTAAAAAAGTAGTACGAATCTTGTGGATTGTTGGAAACTTATTTTTAAGGCAGAATTTACAATATATATTATTTTTAGAATTTACAATCCTAATATTTTTTACAACGATAACCATCAAGACCGAGATAATCCATTTCAAGGTTTTCGAGCACTAGAATTGTAATTCGAAGTAGTTTTGAAGTGAGTCTTTGCGTATTTTGGGTGGGGTGTAGGCCTATCAAAATATTTTCCTTTTGTAAAACGCACAAAAAAGTGGGGATATTTTTTTCATCCGTTGTGACTAGTTGAGGTTACTTTGGTCATTTGGGAGCTAGTGATAGAGGCTTTAACTCTGGAACCCTCTTATGCTTAAATCATATCACGAGGTTACCTTTGATATTAGATCATATGGCCAGGGCATTCTCGGTATTGGAAAGCCTATAAACCCCTGTTGGGGTTTGGTTTTCCAAGAGGCGGTTTCGTTGCAGTCTGCAGGGGGGGGGGAAGAGAGAGATTTTAGAGAGAGAAAGTGAAGAGAGAGAAGGGGAAAAGAGGTTGTGGGGTGTTTCGAATTTGGAGCTTCTTTATTTGCTTTTTCCATTTTATCTCTCTAACGGCCCCCAACGTGAGAGACACAGGACTTGGATTTCTGGGTAGAGAGAGAAAGTGGGAGAAACACATAATGGGTTCATTCTGCTTCTTCAATGATGAGAGTTGATGAGAAGAGAGAGAAACATGGGATCGAAAACCGAGGGCTCACCCTTGAAGGAAAAGGCGTTGGTTTGATGAAAATCATGAAGTAAGAGTTAAGGGGATTCCATTTTCAGACTCGGATGGCGCGTTGAATACTGTGAAGCATTTTAGAGAGAGAGAGAGAGCATCACAGTCGACACTGCTCGAGCCTTCAATTATTGAGAAACCCTCTCAAGTTTGAAACCCGAGGAGAGAGAAACAATAGAGTAAAGTAAACAGAAGTTTCTCTATTGTAGTATAGAGAGAGATTTCTAGATTTTTATTGTGGTGTTTTTGTTGGGGTGGAGAGAGAGAGACTGCTTTAAGGTGTAAGAGTATAGAGAAGCATAGGAGAAAGTACAAGAGTTTTAAATAGGAATTTTTATTAAGAGAGAAGGAGAGAGTTCCTTCTAGTTTCTTATTACGGTGTAGAGAGAGAAGCTACAAGTTTAGAATAACAAGGAGTTTATGGTGTTTTAGGGCAGTGAGAGGGGCAAAGCACTGTAGAGATAGCTAAAGAAGTTGTAGAGAGAAAAAGAGTGATCCTCCTAGTGCTTATTTATGGTGTAGACAGAGAGAGGAGCTATTAATTTTACAGTATCAAGAAAGTGTTTATGGAGTTATATAGAGGGGAGCAAGTAGTTTAGAGTGAGAATAGTGTGTTCTATAGGGTTTAGAGAGCACTGCAGAGAATAGAAAGTTTAAAAACTAGAGTTTTTTTAGATAGAGAGAGAGTTGGTCAGTGCAGTGTAGAGAGAGAGGGAGGGAGGTCTAGAGAGTGGGGTTTTTTTGCCGTGAGTGTAGTGCAGAGAGAGAGTGGAGTTTCTTTCTTGAGGGTAGTGTAGAGAGATTCTCCTAGAGTGTGGTGCAAAGAGAAGAGAGAGAAAATGAATAATTGGCTTGGTTTCTCTCTCTCTCCTCACCTCAACATAGATGGAGGAGGGGCCAACAACCCAAGCAGCCCCACAAACTTCACAGCATTTCATGGAGGAGAAAACTCAGAAAACCAGCATCAAAGCTTCGATGAAATGAACAAAACAACAACACATTTCTCATCATCTCACATGCCTTTGCGCTCAGATGGGTCTCTGTGCATTATGGAGGTTCTCAGACGCTCTCACTCATCAGGTGCACTCCCTTTAACAAACCCTACCCCACTGTTTATTGTGCTCAATTTTTTTAAGGCATAAACCTTGGATTCGGTGTGTCACCTGCCTAACTGTTTTTCCTTTTTATTTTGCCTTGTTTTGATGAGAGAGAGAGATAATGGCTTATGGGCATGTCTAGAGAGAGAGAGAGAGAGAGAGAGAGAGAG